TTTTTTTTTATTAACCGAGGGGTACCAACAATTTTGTCCACGTGTGTAGTTACTATCTGTCACGTAACAAGACAGGGACATAGTTAAAAAGTGTTCGAGTTGTTTACCATTTGTCAATCCTTAATATGCTGATTTAGAAAAAGTTAAAATAGTATAATTTACACTCAGAAGGACTATATATATATATATACACACACACACACACATATACACAGATTTTTAATGTACACCGGTACTTACAGCTTGGGCCTGTTTTTTTTTTTATTTTTTGTTTTTTACCGTTACCAAGTAATTTAATGCATTCTGTCTACAATTTTGCTAGTTATTATCTGTGTATAATTTTGTTAGTTATTATCTGTACATAATGTTGCTAGTTCTTATCTGTATTCCAACAAACAGGAAACATGTGTAAAATAACAGCAAATTATTCAAAAACTGTTTTTAAAAAAAAATTGTAATTATTCCCAGTGTAATTAATAGCAGTTTCAACAATTGCCAACAATTTCAACAAAAATTGAACAGGGACCAGGAGAATCTAGAGGTTTACTATGATGCACGATGGATTTTTGCCCCAGGTCCTCCTTACCAGGTTAACCCCTTCCATCTTGGAGGCCACATCTGCGACAAAAATACAATCAGTGCTGTGGTTCATTCACTGAAGAGGCCACTGTGACTAAAAGGGATTTAGCAATTGTTGTGCTTCATTTCTGTTGCGTCAGATTGGGTAGAAATGCAATGCAATTTCTTTTTAGAGCAGGCTCAGTGACATCCGTTTTTACTAACTGTAGTGTTAAAACGGACGTGAAAAATGGTTATTTTTGCTGCAGTTTTGCTAAACTTACTTTGACTTTATGATAAGGTTAAGGAGACTTGATGTATTACAAAATCCTCCTATCTGTCTCTTATCCATTGAGCCCATGGTTGTTCATTTTGGTTTTACAGCCGTTATATGGAAAATCTTTACAGTTTGACACATTCACACTTACCATTTGGATCTGAGTGTATGACAGTCAGACAGGCAGAAAAAACACACAGAATTATTGTAATTATTAAGCTGGTCATCAGTAGATTTTAGTATTTAATAGTTATTCTATTGTGCTGTGTTATGTCACATATACAGTTGAAACCAGCAGTTTACAGACACTGTATAGAAAGACACATCACCTCTCTTCTTCTTCTTCTTCTTTTTTAATGTCTGACATTAAATGTGACTAAACTTTTCTTGTTTTAGGTCAGTTGGGATTACCAAAATTATTTCTATTTGCTAAATGCCAGAGTAATGAGAGAGAGGCTTTTTTTTTTAGGGATTTTTTAAAATCACTTTCTTTGAAGTCAGCATTTTACATATGTTTCCTTAGTATTTGGTAGCATTGCATTTAAACCGTATGACTTGGGTCAAATGTTTTGGGTTTCCTTCCACAAACTTCTCACAATAGTTTGCTGGAATTCTGGCCCATTCCTGCTGACTGGTGTAACTGAATCAGGTTCTTAAGCCACCTTGCTCCACACACCTTTTCAGCTCTGCCCACAAATTTTCTATGGGATTAAGATCAGGGCTTTGTGATGGCCACACCAAAACATTAATTTTGTTGTCCTTAAGTCACTTTGTAACTAATTTGACTGCATGCTTAGGGTCATTTTTAAACCCATTGTAGGTTCCATGGAGTACAGACAAGTTGTACCAAAAAGGGTAGTCTCTTCAGGTTACAGATTCTTCACATATGAAACAGTAAATTACATCTTAAGAAGGTAAGCAAGGTTGAAGTAGGAGAATGTTTATTTTATTTTTTGTGCATTTACCAAAGATTAGCCCACGTTTGCTGAGCCCACTCATAGGCAAGACGGGGGTAGTAAAGATACGTTTCTTTAGCACACATGTAGAAGTCGTTGACCATGTTTCTCAGTCTTTGTTGAGCTAAGAGTTGAAATTCCGTCTCATCAGTATTTATATCGTCTAATGGCTTGCAGTTTTCACGGTCTGTGCAAGGAACACAAAGGAAATTAGAAATTCTGTAATGCATGACACTTAGCATCACACTTACAGTGACATGTATTGCATACTTATGTACCACAGGATTACTACAGCACTGCAGAATCAAACGGTAGGAATCACCATTACAGTACAGTGCCACGACAATTATTTTGTTTTCATATATTGACTATAGAGATTTAACATGGACAAAACGTATTTTAAACTCTCACCGTGATCTGTGTTTAAGACTGTTGGTTTGTGCAAGCCAAGACAGTCAGCCTGTTTCTGAAACTCCATCATCTCTGCAGCAGTGATGGTTATTCTTCTACCTGTTAAAGAGGTGATACATTGGAGATAAAAGCCTTGTGATGGAATATATACAACATGTACTAGTTTAACATCATCACTTCACACACACTATATTTTACTACTAATAATAAAAGAGAAAGGCAAGCAGTAACAATTCAGTCTCGGGCCATTCCATCTCAGATCATCAGATCAGAACAGAACAATTTTTGTTCAGCTATCGAGCACAATTTGCCATACCTGCACAATCAGGTATGAAAAATCTTATTTCTACTCATAAATTTAGGAATTATTCGATCTACTTGTCTAATATTGCAGACTGGTAATCAATGGCACGATGAGAGATAGCGGTGAAAATCCCAGGCTTTTATCTTTGTTAGTCTCTGAGATATTGTTGTTCAAATATAGCCTCAAATTTCAATGTACAAAAAAATAAAACAAAAAAAAAACCTTGAAGAGGGTTAATGAGCTTTTCTTTTCTTTATTCTTTATTTCTAGTATTTGATATATCAATATCAATCAATAATTGCACAGGTACCATTTTCTGTCTTATCCACAGTCCATAACAGAAAGTTTTAAGCAAATCAGAGACAGTCGAGCAGAAGGACATGGAATGACCCTATGAGTAGCATTTTTTACTGGTGCAACAGCTCTGGTCTGTTAAATCCCTTTGGTCCAAACTGAACTACCTCAGCATCTATGATTTGCTGTGAAATTTTGGACAGATTTACATGCAAACATTGCATTGACTTGGATGATCCCTCAGGCTCCCATCTAGTGCCATCAGCAAGCTAGCTTTTTAATATCTTAACTTTTTTGGTTTATACTCGCTAAACTGTCACATTCCTCAGCTGCACTTATAGTAGCTCACTTGAAACGTACAGTTTCATTGTTTTTCTCCACAGGAAATTAAGAACTTTGAATGGTCTGAGGCCAGACAAGAAAGTTATTCTCTGTGAGACTTGGTGAACATTCTTCCTTCAGTGAATGTCTGAAGCTCTATTTTAATTAATTTGACCATTTTTTTTCCTCTTCCTCTTACTGTAAAGATGTAAAGTGCCGTCCATCTTTACAACAAAGCAGTCATGACAACCAGTATGAAGCAGCACGTTTTTTTCACGGTCAACTCCTGGAAAAATACAAAGAACAGTTTAATACATTTAACGGTCGACATTAAAGCTGTACCCTAAAGATCACAATAAGAATTCGTCTGCATCAAAAATGTTAAAATTATAAAGATCTTTATTAACACAATTAAAAAATATCTAAAGAGTATAACAAGATTTTACAAAAAGAGAAACAATTTGAGAGTGTCCTGCAAATTATTTTCACAATAAATGGTTCACACTTAAAGTAGTGTCTTTGAACCCTAGCAAGGTTGAACAAAGCTTGACGACCTGAGCCTTCCAACAGGGCTTCAGTGTATTACAATATTAACATTTTGTGTACAGCGTTCATTTCTGTTGTGATTTTTTTTCCCCAAAAAACTTAATTTCATGTTCTTAACTCCCTCAAAAGCAGTAGTAAAACCCATTAAAAATGTATTAACACTGACTGAGAGAAAATCAAAGAAGTGATTGATAGTTAGTCATAAGTCTGCAGTCTCAAAGGTTGATGGTGATTAAAAGAAGCACAAAAAAGAGAGACAAACATCTGCAATTAAGCTAAAGTGCACACAAAAACTCTTACTGTCATCATGAACTTGTATAGTGTTTTTCTCAATCAAAAATAATTGAGTAGCATTTCCACAATGTCCAAACCTGTAAAGAATTTATTAAAAACAAAAGATAAATACATGAAACGTTTAACAATTTCAAGGAACACATATACAGGACATGTATGATGCTAAAATACTTCATGGGAAACATCTTTCGAATAAAAATGAATGTGAGAAAAATGAACTACTGTAGACGGTAAAAAGATTAGTTACGTTTTATATCCAAAGTTGATATTGTAGTTGTTCAGTTTGTCTGTTGTGTAAATGTCTGCGAAAGCACTTAGCTCAAGGAAAGAAAACAAAACCGATGTAAGCAGACAGCTGTCAGATGACGTAGCTACGAGGTGCCATCTCCCTGGAAACTGAAACAACAAAAAGAGCAGAATTAATGTATTTGTTTATATTTTGAAGTTATTGAAATATTTCTTTATTTTAGGAAAAGAAAAAATGAAAGAAATGTAACATAAATTGCTGGGTTCAATTTAGTTTTGCACAATAACATCACATCTCAAACAAACAAAGTAGCACATATTAGTTGGTTTAATTTAGTTTTATCTGCTAAAGTAATCTGGAAAAACAATGTTAGAAATGAATATGGAAAAAGACTTACATCTGGACTTCTGTCTACTGGCTTCCCCAGCGTCTCACAGACCAGCGATGCAGACTGGCACCCTGAGATTAGACTCAACGCAACAACAACAACACACAAAGTCTTCATTGTGGCTCAGTGCAATTCCTCTTTGTGTCTCTCGGTTCTGTCTTATATTAACATCACTGACCAGTTATGTTTCTGCCACATCTACCCACCCCCTTCCTACAAGGTCAACTGAACTCAGTGTTCACTTTGGCTTCATTTCCAGTCAGCCTTTGTGTTTACTGACAAAACAAACTGCCATGTAACCAGTAAAGTTCATGAAACCGTGGTAAGGAGAAAGAGCAAAACATAGAGGAAACACAAACCCCATGTGCTTCCTCCATATTTCGCTGTCATTAAACTAACATGTCGTGGGTCACATTTTCAGAAACTGATCAATTTTAAGGTATGTTGTGTGGTCATAATGGAATAGTACGCTCAAAGCACACAGTATTCATACTACACACGATTGATTTTTGACTGTGCTCACAAACAAATTGACTGGCAGTGAAAGCTCAGCCAAGAAAAAATAATCAGTAAGGTATTAGATTTAAAAAAAAAAAAAAAAAAAGTT